CTACACAAACAATTTCGCGTCCACATACATTCACGTCCGGTAATATCCAGAGTCATCATACAGTCCTAAAGGCGAACAGGTTCATATCCTCTTACGCACACAACATGTTGGCGTCGTAAAAATTAATAGAAGATGTATATGAAGCGGCTGAAGCCTAATGGCTATGTCCGCATCAATCAATGAGGGGGAGATGACGAAGGCTGTTAATTTATCAAGCCCTGATCAACTAGTGAGTGAGCTCCTGCCGCAGCCTATCCGAAATCTCTCCTTAGGCGACACACGAGGGTCACTGACTCACTGGAATAACTGTGGCGTTGTTCATTGTTGCACGAGGAGGAACCATCCTTCTTCTTAAGGTGCCTGCACAGGCCCTGCAGAAGCTGCTTTTCTATATTCTCCCTTGTGGTTTCGTCATGATTATCATGGTAGCGAACCGTCTTACATTCCTCCTCGCCCATCTCGTGAAGACGCATAATATCTTCCTGCTCAGACATCGCTATCAGCCTATCATGTCTCCCTCCCATCACTATCACCAGCCAAAGTGGCCACATTCAAGTGGTGATGCTATGTGGCATGATGCAGCTTTCCATCCTCCCCTAAAAGATGATTTAAACTTTAAAGATCAACTTACATCTCTATCAAGCCATTTGTCTGCAGGAAATTGATGTGGTCATCCAGCTCTGCGCATCCTTCAGCTCCTAAATGACTGCCAACATTCTATGGCTCATGCCCTCCAGCAATGTGGAAAATGAGATGTCTGCTCAATCCACCGGGCAATCTTCAACTGCCAATTTCAAAGACAAGGCCCCTGTTACCAATTCCTGCAGCCGCAGCCAGCCTTTCTAGTGCCACGGGAGGGTCAGGAGCCACTTGCTGCCTTCATCATGATGTAGTATGCAATCGACCGAAGTCATCTCCAACCAACAACTACCTCACACCTCGCACCACGCCATCAATTGACCAATCACACCACCCAACCGATGTCAGGGGGCGACGCAAACGTGTATGGTCCATCCGCAGTGGTCGGACAAACAGAAAGTCCCAGTAACGAAGGGCCAATCAACCCCTTGGAGGGTCAATCAACCCCTTGGCCACTGGTCGCACAAGGACGAAAGGGCCACTCTGGTTGGCCTGCAGCAAGGCCCTTAGCAACTTAGCAGGGATTGGAGATGCGATAATGGCCACTAGCCAGATTGGACTAAATATGGGCAAGTCTTCCCTCGAATCCGTGCTTGCACGGAGGAGGTCCTGTGGCTGATAAAGTACAGACTGTACTTCAACCGGGTAACCAGCCCGGAAATTATACCTGGATGTGGTGGCCAGTGGATAAAACCGTTGGATAAGCAGTTGTGGTGGATGAGAGCGGAGTGTGCGACTACTGCCTGTGTGGCGAATGCCTTGTTTGGTGTTGTGTGTGTGTGTGTGTGTGTGTGTGTGTGAGTTGAAGGACACTACAGCCATGCAGCGGTGGGGTGGATATCACGACCGGCATGGATCCACTTTTGTACACCGTGTCATGGCTGTAGTGGTTAAGAGACTCGGCTCTTGAGGCTGAGGGCGCCGGTTCGAATCCGTGCTTGCACGGAGGAGGTCCTGTGGCTGATAAAGTACAGACAGACTTCCCTTGGATATGTGGAGATGATGATCCGGTGATGGTGGGATTAAGACTTGGAAACATAGATATGTGGAGACGATGATTTGGAGGGGGTGGAATTAAGAATTGAAAACATAAGAGTGGTGGTTCTACCCTAGGATGATGAGCCCAAGTTACAGCGGCTCTAGATGAAAGTTAAATAAAACTTATTATAGAAGTGCTTAGAATTTCAAAGAGGAGTCCCCAAGAATTTAATACATCAGTACCTTTCAGAGTCCAAATAGCTCCTTTTTGCAATTTCGACAGTAGGCGCCACATTAGAAAGCCCCCAAAATAGCCTAAATAAACATTACTTCTGACACAATCAACAATATCATACCATAACAAAGTCCCACTAGAACCGCTGATCAGTGGCTGATGTATGATATCCTTCGTATCCCACCCCTCCCCACCTATGTTGTTGCCCCCTCTGGTCTTCTCTCTATCTCCCTCCGTGTACCCCCTGCGGCGACATTGGTGAGTTGCCACGTCAGCAGGACACGGCAGCAGTGCCACGTCAGCAACCAGTCACCGCAGCAGCAGGTCACGTCAGTGCATGGTGCTCACCCGCTCAAAGACAAGCGACATGGATCAGCAGCCAGGTGAGACTACCGAGGCCTATGAGGCCCGCATGCTGGACATGGTAGCAGAGTTCAAGCAACGGGCAGCTGTGGCAACATCCGCACGTAAGAAGGAAGATGAGGACGCAGAGGAACAGCGTCGCCTTGCTGAACAGCAGCGACAGAAGGACTCTGAGGCAGCAAGGAAGGTCACAGACGAATGCCGTCGACTACGCCGAGACAAAATCCTCGAATGCGAGGGGGACATCGAGGTGATCGTCGGCGAATGGGCAGTGGTTGCTGAAGAGGAGGGTTCCCCCTCCGCTGTGCGTGGTCTTGCAACCACAATCGAACATGTGAGCGACTTGGTCGCCACCTGTGCAGCACAGCAAGAGGACATCCTCTGCATGGACACCCTGGTCCAGAAGCAGATTCGAATTATCGATGAACTGCTTGACCGGGTACGCCGGCTGGAACATCAGCCTACAACAGCCACCCCCGCCGGACCCTCCAACTTGATGGACCGCGTTAACGTCTTGGAAATCGACGTCGAGACTCTCAAGGACGGCGCTCTAGCGACAAATCAGCGGATTGACCAGCAGATTTGTGCCGCCGCAGCCAGTCCGACCGCGACTACTCGCGAGAGCATCCCAAAGTTTGACGGACTGCCGATCTTCTGCGATTAAACGAGGACAGACCCGATCCCATGGTGGCGGCAGTTCGAGTTGAAGTTGGACATTCACCACGTCATCAACCAGAACCGGCACGCATACTTATACTCCCGTTCAAGGGGCACGTGCCAGGCATGGCTGGACCAGCCACAACGTCGCAGTTTCCGAGCTGCATACGAAGATCAGTTGGGCTGATCTCAAGGCAGCATGGCATAAGCGATTCCAAGTGGAGCCGCCCGAGCTTCAGGCAGCCGAGAAACTTCAACAGTTGTATCAGAACGACCTGCCAAGCACGGACTGGATAACCGAGTACCTTGGCATCCACGCCCAACTTGCCATCGACATTTATCGCTATCAAGCACTTCTTCATTAGGAGGAGCTGTCCGACATTGCAGAACACCTTGACACAAGTTGCGGAGACGCTCACTACAAGTGAGCAACTTTTTTATAAAGCCTCGCAAATCATCGTGACGAACATCGAAGCCAAGAATTTGGGCTATTCGTCTGCAGCAGGTCAGGGCAAAGGTCAGCATTGACCGAAAGTGGCCGTGGTCGCAGCAACTACCGCGACCGATCCTTTAAATGAGGCTGCCTCTTCTGATGAAGGAGATAGATTGGCAGTTGCCCAGGATGGTGGCCGCCCCGCCAGAAGGCGAGGACGCGGCAAACCGAAGACACACACCAATTCATCCCCCGGGGCCGGACCAGCGGCTCAAGAGCGTTGGACACATTACAGTATCTCAGAAGGCGTGTACCGCATCCGTACTAAGTACCGATACTGCTTGTGGTGCAACAGCGCGGTGCACGACACCGCAACGTGCCCCACGAAAGTCAAAGGCAAATTCCCTTCGGGAAAGTGAGCACCACCGATAGTGATGCGGCTGCACTCTCGACGCCTTCGGAACCGGTTGCCTCGCGAGCAACCTCTCTTCATTCCGAGGCACATGCGGAAGTCGACAGTCCTCTCTTATATTCTTATGAGGACTATGTTGTCCGGCTCCTTCCTTCGATGGGTTTTCAAGCTCAAGGACGAGATGTGTGTGCGGCTCCTTCTCCGTTCGAAAACAACAACACTGAATTGTCTTCAAGTGGTTCTTCAAGGGATTCGACACACGAGTTCAACATAGAGGTCTTGGACCCGTTGACGTCTGAGGATTTTGCATGGCTTTGTCTCCCTTCCACAAGCTCCTTGTCGGGACTGCAATGCGCAACACTATGCGCCCATCTCCACACATACTTAGCCTTCTATGCACCACCACCTTCGCCGACGGATGACTAAGTTGCGGTGGGGGACATCCTTGCGTATGTTACCAAGGTGGCCCGCAAGTTTCGCATGCAGCGGTACGATGATAACAACGCACCACTCCTTTATGTCCGCATCCAGTTGGGCAAGTGTCCTACAGCGCTTTGCTGGATAGCGACACGACTCACAATTTCATCAGCCAGTCCTTTATCCAAAGGGCCGGCCTTGGCGCACAAGTTCGAAGGAAGCCAAACCCGATGGCGATCAAGTTGGCGGACGGTCGGACGCAACAACTCCTCGATCGCTACATTCAAGTTGTGTCGGTTTATTTCGCACCTCATGCATGCGAACCGGTGACGTTTGACGTCTTAGACACGGACTTCGACATTATTTTGGGGATGCCTTGGCTTTCAAGTGCGGATCACATGGTTAACTTCCATCAGTGGACACTTACCGTTCGCGACGCCTTCGGCGCCGAGGTATCGTGTAGGACGTGTACCATTCCTCTTCCGCACTCCTCGATCCGGTGCCAAGTTGTAACAGCCAAGTCTTTTCGGGCAACTTGCGCTTACGAGCGGACCGACGAGATAGACCTATGTTCTCTACGAGCCGCCGCGGCGACCGAATCTTCACCGACGGACTTGTCTTCGGACCCCCGAGTGGTGCGGCTGCTCGACGAGTTCACCGACATCTTCGAGTCTCCTATTGGTGTGGTGCCGGATCGGTCGATCTCCCACGAGATCATTCTTGAGGCTGGTGTCATGCCACCGAAAGGATGCATCTATCGCATGAGCGAGGAAGAGCTCGCGGTTCTCCACACTCAACTCAATGATCTGTTGGACAAGGGCTGAATCCGCCCTAGTAGCTCACCATACGGTGCGCCAATTCTCTTCGTACGGAAGAAGAACAAGGATCTTCGCTTGTGCATCGACTACCGCAAGCTCAACGCACAAGCCGTCAAGAATGTGGTACCTCTTCCGTGGATTGATGACCTTCTCGAGCGTTTGGGCGGCGCGAAATTCTTCTCGAAGTTGGACTTGAAGTCGGGCTCCCATCAAATCTAGATATGCCCGCAAAATTGCTACAAATCTGTGTTCAAGACATGGTACGGGCATTTTGAGTGGATCGTTATGCCTTTTGAGCGGCAATGACCAACGAGTTTCGTGCGGTGTTGGACCGGTTCGTACTAGTCTACTTAGACGACATTCTCGTCCATAGCTGGACATTGGAGGATCATCTTGAGCACCTTCGACGAGTGTTGGAGACACCTAGCCGCGCCAAGTACAAAGCCAACCGCGACAAGTGCGAATTTGTCCGGCAAGAGCTGGAATACTTGGGCCATTTTGTCACACCGGAGGGCATCAGTCCGTTGTCGGACAAGATTCAAGTCATCCAAGAGTGGTCGGAGCCGAAGAACGTCACAAATGTTCGTTCCTTCCTTGGCTTAGTCGGCTACTATCAATGCTTCATCAAGGGATACTCGAAGATCGCGGCTCCTTTATCCAAGCTTCAATGCGAGGACCGACCATTCGACTTCGACGACAATGCGCAGACTTCGCATTGCTATTCGCGGAGGTGTTGCGCATCTACGACCCGCTTCTACCGACACGTGTCACTACCGATGCGTCCGACTATGGCATTGGTGTCGTCCTCGAGCAACATGATGGCGTGGACTGGCACCTGATCGAGTACTTTAGCAAGAAAGTGCCAGCGTGCACTCGATCGACGACGCACGGAAGAAGGAATTATTGGCCTTCATACACACGCTCAAGCGCTGGCGGCATTTTCTTCTCGGTCGACGACAGTTCTGATGGGTAACGAATAACAATCCATTGGTCTTCTACAAGACCCAAAACACGGTCAATAGCACCATTGCTCGTTGGATGACCTTCATCGACCATTTTGATTTTTTTCCCGACCACATTCCGGGCAAGTCAAACCGTTTTGCGGATGCTCTTTCACGGCGTCTAGACCATTGTACCGCAGTCTACTAAACTTTTGAGATTCACGACGACTTGTGGGACAGCTTCATCCGCGGCTACCAAGTCGACCCCGAGTTTTGCGACAAGTACGCAAATTGCTCCTCTCCCAATCCGGCGCCATCGCACTATCGGATCCAAGAGGGGTACTTGATCGTCCACTCGCGAGGGAAGGATCTTCTTTGTGTGCCACGAGATTTACACTTGCGCACACGACTTCTTGGCGAGTTCCACGACGCTCCTGCCACTGGACACTTTGGAGTCAATCGCACGATTGGCCGACTCCGTGAGCGCTTTTGGTGGCCCGGTCTTCTCGACGATGTCACATGCTATTGCGAGTCATGCGAGGTTTGCCGACGTTGCAAATCCTGAAATCATCGTCTGTACGGTGAGTTGCGACCATTACCAGTCCCCTTGCGCCGAAGGGAAGCGATTGCCATGGACATTACCGGGCCGTTCCCCAAGCACAAGACTGGTGTGGATGGGATTCTCACGGTGGTCGACCGACTCACCAAGTTCGCCATGTTTTTGCCTTGCCACTATCATGCCAAGGTAGCGGAGTTGGCCGAGGTTCTTGACGCCAGATGGATTCGAACCAAGGGTTACCCCAAGGAAATCGTCTGCGACCGCGACACTCGGTTCATGCCCGTTTTTTGATTGGCGCTCATCAAACGATGGGGTTCATCTCTCAAGCCAAGTTCGGCTCGCCACCCCCAAACCGATGGCCAAACGGAGAGGGCACATCACACCGCACAGGTTCTCCTTCACACTCTCATTCGCCTCGACCAAAAGGATTGGGTTGAGCGGCTGCCAGATGTCGAGTTGGCATACAACTCGTCCATCCACCCGGCTATCGAGGTGTCGCCGTTCGAGTTCGAGCACGGCTCGTCGGTTACTTCTCCGTTGGACACAATCATTCCACGGGCGACCGAGAGCGATGACCATCCTCTCTTCATTCGCCGGATGCAAGAGCTCCTTGCCAAGGCACGAGACCAGATGGCAAAGATGCAGCAACTCATGAGCCAACAAGCCAATCGCGAACGTCTTCCCTGTCCATTCTGCGCTGACGACCTTGTCTGGGTTTCCACCGCGGAATTTAGCCTCGAACAAGATATCTCTTGCAAGCTCCTCCCGAAATGATGGGACCTTGGCCGATCGTGGCACCCGCTGGGGATGCACCCGAAGGACCTTCTTTCACCATTCAGGTGCCCACCCACTTGCCCGTCTACCCGGTCTTTCATTGCTCCAAGTTGGCTCTTTACACGCTAGCGGAACATGACGATTTTCCCGGACGACGATCGCAGGACCCACCCTCTATGGACAGTTTTCAAGACGTCGGCAACATCATCTCCCAGCGACGCTACGGCAACAGGCCAACCGAGTACTTGGTACACTTTGTGTACTGCAGTCACCGAGCTGACCGTTGGTTGAACCGTGCGGAACTCCAAGCAACAGCTCCAGATGTTGTCGCACGCTACGAACGCAAGATGCAAGGCAAGCCGGTATCTTTGGCTCCACGTCGCACCCGCATCCATGTTCCACCTTCAGATCGCCAGCTTCGCCCTCGGCCCGGCTTGACTTCATGAGGGGTGGGTGTTACACGCTGCGCCTGCAACAGGCTGCACGGGCCACTTTCAGGCCCGTGACGTTTTCAGGCCAAAAGCCTGAAAACAAGGGCCTACAGGCCCCGTGTCGTTTCAGCCTGAAAGCCTGAAAACAAGGGCCTACAGGCCCTGTGCCATTTCAGCCTAAATCAGGGCCTTTCCGGCCCTGAGTCTTTTCAGCCTGACACTGAGGGCCATTTTCAGGCCCTCATGAGTTCGGCCTGGCCCGAAACTCAGGCATCAAACCAGGGTTTTAACTTAGGCCATTTTTGGCCTATTTTCAAGACAACCTTCGTTTGAGCTTCAACCCCAGGGTCTGGCACGTTTTGGCATTGACAAGAGCAGCCTCCTGGACGGGCCAGCACTATGAAGGACTGGCCCGCCCTGCAGGCTGCAGGTAGTTCCTAGGTACTTCCCAGGCACTTCACGTGCAGTTCAGAAGGCAGGAGGTAGTCTTCAGTATTCGGCAGCAGTACTCTGGAGGTGCGCTGCAGGAGTAGTAGTAGTGTTAGCAGTAGTCTTCAGCGCTGGGCGCTAGTAGCGTTAGCTGTAGTCTTCAGTGCTGGGCGCCATAGCAGCTAGAGTAGTACTATAGAGAGAGAGATTGGGCGGAGGCCAGGGGGACTTACCTGCAGCGCCATCGCTCCGGCTTATACCCGCAGCACAGCGCCACCTTCACAGGTTAGTACCTGGCATATGAGAGAGAGAGAGTTCTTCTTCTTCCTCTTCTCAGTCCACCATCTCTCTCTCACCCTCTCATTATCTGACTTCACTGCATCAGCAGACTATGAGAGAGAGAGAGAGAGAGAGAGCTTGGTGACATTTGGATCCAGACTCGACATTGGACTTCAGACATTTTGAAGAGGGATTATTTGGGACTGGCAACGAGACTTGGTGTTGACGACTTTCCCATCTCCCCCTTCCTCTTCTTCGTCTGATCCCCTCCTCCTCGTCTGTGTATGTCTGGACCTGGCGCCTTCTTCCTGTGTATAGCACCAGGCCCCTTCACAACTTGTGATGAGCATGATGTATGTTTGGTCTGCGTTGTAACATTGATTGGGCTAGTCATTGGTATTCTAGCATTCTGCTGCGCTGTCTTGCACTACGTGGTAGAGGTCAGTCCCGGTCAGGTCAGGACTTGTATCTAAAATCTTCCCTGCGCTATAAAGCACCATTTTGTATGTATCGGAATGCACATTGCTCGTTGAGATTCCACTTGCACTGCATTGTCCATTCAGTCCTTTTTATCACCTTGCGGATCCTCGGTTTGTATGTACATCGCCCAACTGGGCATGTAACACACACACAGTTTTATGTCTGTCAGTCTTTCTTCTGTTGTCTGTCCTCCCTCTGATTTTTTCGAAGTATCTTTTTGTGTGTGCCTAACGAGCACTCTTAAGTAGTGCCAAACAGTCGGTGGTTCCTCGTTTGGAGTGCTTACTGCACTCTTAGGGGGGGGGGCTCAGTTCGGGATGTCTGTGATGCCTGTGGGTGATGACGGGTGCTCGTCGGAGTGACTCTCTGGCTCAGTGGGTGGTAGGAACCAACATTCTGTGGGGTTGAATCGTGATGTGAGTAGGTCATGCGCTGCTTTGCTCCGTGTTGGATGTGTGGACTGCCTCGTCTGCACTCTGCCGCTGCCTTGCTGCCTGTCCCTCTTGCTTCACATGTGGTTCTTTGCAGATCGATGTATTCGCTGTGTGGTGTGGCCGTGTTATTGGTTTTGCCTTGCGCTTCGCTGCTCCGCTGCTTGCTGCTCATCCACTGGCCATGCCTTCCTTGTTTGCCCCTTGTGTGCCTTGTAGGTTGGTTGCCTTGTTGCTGGTGCCTTGTGCTCCACTCCACGGTTGCTGAGCTGCTGGTCCGCTCGCCCTGTTGTCCCTTGCAGTGTGGTTGCCTTGCTTGTGCTGTATTGTGCTTCACTACATGGTTGCTGTGCTGCATGTCCACGTGCCATGTAGTTCCTTGCAGTTGTTTTTTGGCGTTGTGGAGCCGTGTTGCCTCTACTGTGTTGCCTGGTGCTCCACAGGGTTGCTGCCCGATGCTATGTTCCGCTTGGGAACTGTCGGCCTTCAACAAGGGTCGAATGGTTCATGACCCAAACCATCAAATACGGAGATTCCACAGATTGTAGAGGTTTCAGCCTCCTGATGAGTCGGTGCAACTCCGATGAAACAATCTATCATGTTTTTTTTTTTTTCGCTTTGTGTTTTTTTTGCTACTTGTTTCTTTGTCTGCCTTGTTGTCTTGTTGGCGTGCTGTTTCTTGACTTGCCTGCCCACCCGCCTCCCCCATGCCCTCCAGCCTCTGTTCCGTGCTGTTTCTTCACCGCCCTAGTGCTACTTCTTTAGTAGTTGTTGCCGCCTTGAGCTGTTTGTCTGCCCGCCCACCGTGACCTCCCCTGTGCCCTCCACTCCTTGTTGATTGCTTGTTGTTTGAAAACATCCTACGTATATACTTTGAAAACACCACGATGATGGAATGATTGCTACCTTTGTTCTTCCCTATCTGCAAACTGTCATGATAAATTATAAACCCTTGGGTACAGTGTGACTCTTTTCATGATGTTTTTCATGGAGCATGAGTTATGACGCATCATGCTGTGACACGGTCGCAGGAGCCCCCCAGCAAAACAACACACACACACACACACACACACACACACACACACACACACATCAACCTCCTGATGAGTCGCTGAAAGTCTAACGAAGCAGTCTGGCGCAGTCATGCTTTTTTCGTGGAGTTGTGTATGGCGAACATGACAACACACACACAGTCACACACAACCACACGCACACACAACCACACCCCCACCCACATGCATACACACTAATATATATCTCTGATCTCCCCCCCTTTCCTGCAACAACTGCACATGGCACGTGTCCCCCACCTTGTGCATGCTCATGGTATACCAGCACACCATCCTGAACTGCATTGCTTCACTGCAAGTATATCACCCACTCCAGAATACAATCACCGCACAGAGTAGAACTTAATGAATGGATAGATGGAGTGTGTAACTCATCATGATGTCCTTTCCCCCCAAACTGTGGCCACATGTTCAGGCTTACACATCCACCACCAAGCAGGAAATCTATGCCTTGGCTGTGACAGCGCAGAACTCCACCAGCCAGAATAACAATCACAGAACAGTTATTAAGAACTTGTTGAATGCAAAAAGTTAAGAAAATAAATCAGCAAGTGGATAGATCAATGATGACCGATCATGATCTGGTGTTCTTCTGCACTTTCTCCACATGTTCGGCAGTGCTGCGGGGCAACTCCATAAACGCATTCTATACATTTGCCACAGCAGTGGCGACCGTCATTAAAGAAAACAGACTCACAGCACAAATACAGTAAGACTTGTCAAATGGACGGATGCTTGAGCAAATGGATGGATAACGAGTTGCTCACGCTGTGTGTTATCCAAAAGTACGACAGAGCTGTGGCTGCTGCCGCATCCATTATTAAGAGTATAGGTGAAACAGTGGTCAACGCAATCAGTGGTGTGATGGGTGCGTCTGTTTCTGGGGGCTGCTACGAATCCATCAGCGGATGGGCCGCGCTCCACCACTCATCCCTCTGGATACACTTGGCTTTCTGGACTGGGTGCATCCGGAGTAGTCCAACATTTTGAATGTACCGGGACGATTATGAGCTCCAGATACATGTAGAGTGTTCTGTCGTGGAGCGAGGCGTCATGGTTGCATCAAGAGGAGTCCCGATATCATCCCCGTCTGTGCTTTTTCTGCATGTACAGCAGTGCTGCGACATCCAATATTAAGACCATTCCTGAAATGCTTGTGACAGCAACAAGCGGTACAATGGGTGCACCTTTCTCTGGCAGCTCCTCTAAATCAGATGATTCTAATTGTGGAGAATCGGTTCCCAAGACCTCCGCACTGCCTTGGACAGGTGGAGGTGGGGGGTCCGGCACGAGCTTAACACCATCAGGTCTGATGAACCCCATCAACCAATCTATCCGGTCAGCCCTCCCCTTCTGTACCTTTCTTGTTGTCGCCCAAATGCGTTGCAACTCAGAGAGCTTCCTCTGCACCTCCCGCCACTGCATGAACTCACAAACTCTGCTATAATCATCGAACCGATCCATATAGTCAGCCCATTTCTCCAGCGTAACAAGGGTGTCGTTGTACACATCACCACCTTCTTGATACCTTGCAATAGTGTAGAACTGATATCTATTCAGAATATCTGTCAAGGCCTCTGGGCAAAAGGTGTTGTTTGTGTCCCGTCCTAAATACGCCCTGGCATATCTAGAGTTAATCCGCTGGGGGTTGTCCCAGGCAATAAACATGAGTATGCAGTCTCCACCACCAATCAAGTTGCTGTACATGTTGAAAACGTCATTAGATTTTGTATTATTTCGACCCCCCAGTTCTATTCCACATCCTGGGCTGTTGAATATAAAATTGTCAGCCCATAGACCATTCATTGCCCTGTTTAGTCGTATGCCGACCCCCCTCCTGATGTCCGTGATGGTATTGTTGACGACCTCGAACCTCGTGGTTGCATTCCCATCCAAATAGATGCCATGGGTCGCCTCGTACTTGTCATTTTTCAGAGAGCACATTATCGCCAGCTCGTTGCCATACCCTTCAGTGATGTAGTTGTCTCTTACCACCTTCATTCCATTGAAATCCGCTGTCTTAAATATGTATACCCCAGCCCCATCACTGGTCGTACGACAGAAGTCGTAGATGGTGTTTCCTTGGATAAGATTGTAGCTGAACCAGACTCCGTAACACGCCGACCACCCCACGTTGTAAACTATGTTGCCAATTATGTTGTTGGCATAGATACCTATGCCTCGCGACCAGCCACAAATGTACCCAACATGATGGACCAAATTCCTTCTTGCCATATATGTTGACATCGTGGACTGGGCATCAGTTTGAAGGAACCCATGGATTCCATTACCAATCATCCACCCAATGTCGTTGAGCTCCACCCACATGACACCTCGCGGAACGGGCACGTGCACACCATGCCAGCATTTTTGGATGACGTTCCTCCTGAACGTCACGTTCCATGTTGCGTCGTCATCGTTACGTTCATAGTACTCGGTTTCCATTCCTGTCTGCGCCTTTTCGACTCGCAGGTTCTCGATAATAATGTTCTGGCTTCCAGCGCGGATTAGCACCCCTTGCTGAGAAAAATCGGTGACCAAGTCGATAACTTTGATGTCGCTCCTGTGCCCTGCAATTGGGTACACATACAGAAGTTGTTCCGCATTGTCAAAAAACGCTTCGCGTGGAGCATCCAGCAGCTTGAGCGGCCCTTCGAAGTACGCGCCACCGGAGAAGCACTCTCGCTCTGTGAAGAATGAGGCCCCTTTGTGGTATTTCACATCGCATCGTCCCCAGTCATATGCCCGCCTGCGTATGATTGCCCGTGAGCCATTAAGAAACCCATCAGGAAACTTTGCATTCAAATACGACTTTGGTGCAATCATCTCCCATTCACCATCACCACTTTTGCCTATGCTCTGGAACCGGCACCAGAACTCACCCACACTACCGCTTGTTTCCATCGGATTCACATAGTTTGGAATTCGGGGAGCGTGGTACAGAAGATCATTAATGAAGATGCCCCAGTACTGAACCTCTTGGCCTCTGGGGATGAATGCGGAAAGATTGGCGACCAAGACATTCTTGTTGGCACCCCATTTACTCCATCGAACTACCGATGCCAGGATTCGCAACCCAGGGTTGACCAACGGATGCACACCCCTTGGAACATCTTTATTGCAGGTGTAGGAGCCGACAAGAACAGGTAGATCAGGTGTACCCCTTCCGTACACCTCTAGCTTCTCATTGAACCAAGCATCACCTCTACAGAGAAACAAATTGTCACCTGGTTCAAGTGATAACCTAGCCGCCTTGGAAAGGGATTTCCAAGGGGTCGATGATTTCTGAGCCTGCTGCTCGCTCAAGCTATCGTCCCCCATTGTTGATGAGAAGTAGTATGAAGTCTTAGCGCCAAATGCCAGAGTCACCAGTGTGCTAAGAAGAAACCCAACCGACACTGAGTTTCTTATCAGACTCCGCTGCTGATGCATTCCTCCTCCTCCTCCTCCTCCTCCTCCTCCTCCTCCTCCTCCTCCCACTCCTCCCACAATAGCTGCTGCAGATCCCAATGCCAACCAGCATTGGTAAAAGCACCATGAGGATGAAGAGGAGGAGGTCATGGTAGACCACAAGGTTCAAACTCACAATGACAAAGACGGCTTTCAGGCTGACAAGAGCAGTTACTGGCCCAGAATGGTCAGGGATGGGGCCAAGGAACGCTACTCAGTGGCCACGGTGCTGCTGCCATTCCACTGACATTTCAGCTTCGCAAATGACCACTCCTCATTTCTGCTTCCGCTCAACCTAACCGTATGAAGCAAATCACTTCAGCCACATCCTCCACTCGCAGCCACAGACACCATTCCAACCATGGAGGTGAATCCCGTCAGTTCCAACAGTGTTGCCAACACCCATAATTTTGACTGCATTTACAAAGAGGATCACACTCATTATTCTCGTCAAAAGCCAATATCACCAGACCCTTCAATTGTGATCCCATGATCACCTCACCCTGCAAGTCAAGCTGCACTCACTATTCTCTCTCTCTCTCTCTCTCTCTCTCTCTCTCTCTCTCTCTCTCTCTCTCTCTCTGCACATGTGTATACAATTCTGCCTCTGTCTCTGTGTGAGGGAGACCATTGCCCATCATTCACTTTGCGATTATCAAATAGTACTCAGATTGAACATGACCAAGCGAGAAAGAGATCCGATTGATAATAACTTGGATCGCATCTGATCCTCCTCACCTCTTGAGCCTTGTGGATACCAGCTCGTTCTTCGGAGGCTTTGAGGAACACCCTCTCTCAGTGAGTTTTCCAAATTTGGCTGGCATGAAATGCACAGCACATATATGACTCTCAAAGGTCATCATCCATCCAGTACCAAGACCTGGAATCATTTGGAGGAGTTCTCAAGCCAAGAATACCCCAACCCTCCATCCTTCCATCCATCCATCCATTCATCCATCCATCAATTTACCCATCCACCGGGGAGTTGTCAAGCCGAAAGAAAAAAACGATCATTCTCTTCAGACATCCTTCAGCCACTAAATGGGTCAACCACTTAACAAGTCGATTATCAAACAACCGACGAACACACCAGACAGCAATGAACCAACCAACCGACATAATAAATCACCGACTGACTGGCAACACCGTCGATCACTCAGAAGGTAGGTCCATGCATTATCCCTGTTCTGGGCACAAGCGGTTAACAGGGAGTCAGGGACCCCAACTTTTCAGCCCTGGGCGTTGCGTATTGCCGTATTGAGAATTCAGGCCATTCGTCTGAGACATATTTTCAGCGTCTGAAAGCAATGTTTGTGCTGGTGCAGAGCGACACGATCACAGTTTGTGCAAGAGCTATTAGCTATGTTTGCTTTTGCCTACACTTTGATCCATTCCCTTGCTATCCCTCTCTTCCATCTTCCACTTGTGCCTCTATGGTTCACCTTGTCAACCAGTTCTGCATAAGGTGTGCCATACATGACCTGTATTTGTCATGCTAACCACTTTCTTCTTCTTCTTCTTACGATCCTGGCCAATTTCGAAGTATACATTCATCTGAAAGTACAATGCCATCCAATTGCAAAAAGAAATGAATGAACTTGAGAGGAAAGAGAGGGAAAGAAGAAGAAGACGAAGTGAGAAAGAAGAAGATGATGATGTACTCCAGCATAGACCAATGTCAAGGCTCTTCTTCTTCGCCACCCAATCCCTTCCTCCTTATCTCCTCCCTCTTATTCAAACAAGAAATAACAATAATAATGTTGAATGACTGAACCAGAATCAATGTCCTAATCCCACTTCTGCTGCAGGCACAACATGAGGTCCACCATAGCCATGGCAACCCTTCCTCTTCCTCTACATACAGGCCGAGGGTATGGTGGACTACTGAGGCTTCAGCCTCCTGTCCAAAGGACAACCCAAAGCAGCTATGCCGCTGCCCCACTTCAAGGTCATCACCATGCAGCTATGCCGCTGCCCACTCAGCCACCATGCCTGACTCTGTCCCGAGCTTCCTTGATGCGGCACTATCCCCACTGGGGCCTTCCTGATGCAGCGCCTAGCAAGGAGATGAAGATGGTGTCTACCATAGCCAGTAAGTRCCTCGCCACTCTCCTCCTTGGTCCCCTTCTCCCTCCTCYTCCTACCGGTAGAGCTCCACCATAGCCAAGGTGGAAGATCCCGGCTTCTTCCTCCCAGCAGCGCTGTAGTGCCCAGCGCTACTCCAACCAGCGCTCCAGCAGCGTGTCGCCAAACTTGCACACTGAAGAATGAGGCTGGGCTCTTTGCCCGGCCTCTTGATATAGCGGCCTACTTGCCTCCTGGGCGGTGACTTCCAGGCCGCTCGGCCTCTCCAAGCAACCGGTACTTCCTCCGTTTCGGAGGGAAACATCATTGCAGACCCTGATATTWCCCGTACAGGCTCTAGACTCAGACTGGTTGGACTGGTACCGGCCTAGACCTACCCTACCGCTACTGGACTCTAAAAATGCCAACTTTGTCTTTTTCTGCTCGGCCTCTAGTACCCCCTCATGCCAATTGCAGTGGGGTGCAGTATCGGCCTACCGGCCCACTTGAGTGTTTTTCCGCTACCCCAAGGGCCGCGGGGCCGCTAGCTTCGCCACTTGAGTGTTTTTCCCTGCTACAACCCTCAATACCACGGCCACAGGTAAGTACCGGCCCTACGGGCCTGCCAAACAAGCAAGTACCCTTGAGGGTCACACACACACTCATACCGACAAGCACTCAGTCAGGCACGCAGGTCACAAGCACGCACACACAGACAGACTTAGAAAACACAGCAGAATGCGGGAATCTCAGCAAGGCATCCATCCATTCCATCGGCAGAACTTCAGAAATCAGCAGTGTTCTCAGTCTGTGTTTTGACGGGTCATTACATTCTTCTTCTTCTTCTTCTTCTTCTTCTTCTTCTTCTTCTTCTTCTTCTTTCCTCTTCCCTTTTTCTTACTTCCTTCTTCCTTCCTCCTCCTTTTTCCTTCTTCTTTCTTCTTCCTCCTCCTCCTCCTTCTTCTTCTTCTTCTTCTTCTTCTTCTTCTTCTTCTTCTTCTTCTTCTTCTTCTTACCTCCTTCGTCGTCGTCTTCTTTTTTCCTTCTTCTTCTTCCTCCTCCTCCTCCTCCTCCTCCTCCTGCTCCTCCTCCTCCTCTTTCATCTACTTCTTCCACTTTCTTCTTCTTCTTTGTCTTTGTCTTCGTCTTCGTCTTCGTCTTCGTCTTCGTCTTCGTCTTTCTTCTTCTTCCCCCTCCTCTTCCTCCTCCTCCCCCTCCTCCTCCTTCTTCGTCCTTCTTATTTCTTCTTCTTCCTTCTTCCTTTTTTTTTCTTCTTCTTCCTTCTTCATTGTTTTTTCTTCTTCCTTCTTCTTCTTCTTCTTCTTCTTCTTCTTCTTCTTCTTCTTCTTCTTCTTCTACTACTACTACTACTACCACTACTACTACTACTACTACTTTCTTCTTCTTCTTCTTCGTCTTCTTATTCTTCTTCTTCTCCTCAACTTCTTCTTCTTGCCTGGATGCTGCGCAGAATGGCTGAACGTAGAGAAAAATTCATCTTCGCATTCTTTTCTTCTCCTTTTTTGTTTTGTAATGAACCGCCAAAACACAGACTGAGAGCACTGCTGATTTCTGGGTTTTGCCGCTGGAACGTATGCCTTGCTGAGATTCCCGCGTTGTGCTGAGTTTTCTAAGTCTGTGTGTGTGTGCGTGCTTGCTGGTCCGTGTGCCTGTCCACGTGCACGTCTGCCTGAGTGTGTGTGTGTGGCCCGACAGGGCGCTTGTGTGTGATGAGGCCTGCAAGGCCGATACTTACCTGTGGCTGTGACTTTGAGGGTTGCGGAGGGAAAAACACTCAAGTAGCGGGGAGTAGGCTCGCGACACTTAGGGCAGTGGCAGAAAAACACTCGAGTAGCAGGTAGGCCGGTACCACTCGAGTAGTGGTTGATGTGTCGGGAACTGGAGGCCGAGCAGAAGAAGACAAAAAGTTGGCATTTTTAGAGGCCCAGTAGCGGTAGGCTAGAGGTATGCAGGTACCATTACAAGTAACCTGAGTCTAGGGCCTGTCCGGACGATATCAGAGCCTGCAATGATGTTTCCCTCCGAAAGGGAGGAGGTGCCGGTTGCTTGGAGGTCGCGCAGCCTGGAAGTCACCGCCCAAGAGGCAAGTAGGCCGCTCTATCTCCAAGAGGACCTAGTAGCTCCTCCTCATTTGCGGTGTACAAGGTTGGGCAACATACTGCTTGAGCGGGCGCTGGTCTCAGAGCGCTGCCTGGGAGGACAAAGAGGAGCTGGGCGCTCAGCCTGGCTATGACGAGCAGCCCAGCTTGAGGAGGAAGAAGAAGGGGGGCGAAATAGGAGAGTGGGGAGGTACCTACCTGGCTATGGTGGACACCATCTTCATCACCTTGTTAGGCGCTGCATCTGGAAGGCCCCAGTTGGGGTAGAGCCACACCAAGGAAGCTTCGAGGCAGAGCCAGGCATAGCGGCCTGATGAGCAACGACCACAGCGGCTTTGTGGTCTTTTGCACAGGAGGGCGAAGCCCTTAGTAGTCCGCCATAGTCGTGGCATGTGAGAGGAAGGTGAAGACGAAAGCCATGGCTATGATGGACCTATGGTTGTGCTGGCAGTAAGAGGGAACTCCGGATATTGATGCTGGTTCAACCAATCATTGTTATTATTATTATTTTAAGAATAAGATTGGAGGAGACAAAGCGAAGGAGGAGAGTGGAGAGAGAAGGGGAATTTGCCATTGGTCTTGCTGGTGTACATCTTCTTCTTCTTCTTCTTCTTCTTCTTCTTCTTCTTCTTCATTCTTCTTTGGTCTCCATCTCTTTGCAAGTGCTTTCATTTCTTTGGCAATTGGGTGGCATCATCGTTCCTTGTGAATTTGCACTTCGGAAATAGCCAGGATCGCAACAGTTTAAATAATTTGGACCATTTCTCGATTTATGTGTGTCATTTTTGTGCAGGGGCCATGGTAATCTTCTCTGAATTGTTCCAAATTCAACAGATGTCCCAAAGGACATCTTTTCAATTAGAATTACTGCAATGACCCGCACAAATCGCCGTCTGAGGTTTCTGCAATTTCTGATAAAATTTGGTCCCTGTTAGAATTCCAAGTCTGAGTCTGTTCTGATGTGATTTGTTGTGTTTTCTATGTGTGTATGTGATGTACCACTATCATGCATGTGCCGTGTGCTTGCCTGAGTTCGAGTCTGGGTCCATGAACTAACTCTGTAGGCCATGTGTGTGCCTGTGCCTCAGACAGGGACACGATAGTGACAGAGAGTCCGCCAGGGGAAGGACTGAAAGTTAGGGGTAGGACATGTTGGAGGCAGTTTAGCACATAGGTACATAAGTAGAATTTGATAGGGAGCGGTAGGGATTTTTTAACAATTCCGTTGGGCCTGGGAAGGAAGGTGTGTCGGACCCGCCGGGATGGCGGTCCGACAGGATGGAGACGAAGGGGTAGAGGAAGGACGGAGTGGAAATGGAGCTGGAAGGGACAGGTATCGACGCAGACTCGACACCGCACGTACTCCAACAAGTGCAAAAATGATGAATGACGAAAAACAGACAACAGCTGGGGTATACCCCCAGCGGACTGACTGGGCTGGATTGGACTGGACTGGTACCGACAGTGGTACCGGGCAGGACGGGACTGGACTGAAAAAGTGCACGGCCTGTGGGGTCAGGCCACAGCCTGGTCCCACAGGCCGAACTGGCAAATAGCCAAATAGGCCTTGACTGTAGGCCAGGGCAGATGAAGGCCCGCTGCAAGATCCTCAAACCTGTACTGGATCGCAAGAGCCATAAACACGCTATCCGCAACAGCAGCGGAACTCAGCAATAAAGAAAGCTGAGAAATCTAGGATGCGGAGCAAGCTCCATGCGGAGTCCATGCGATGCAGCCTAAGCTACATAATGTCAAATGAAAAGCAAATGTCTGGTATACATATCCTGACTAACAGCAGAAAATGAAATGTAGCAATATACAATCCTAAAATCCTGGAGGCAATTGTCTCAGTGTTGAAAGGAAAAAGAGCAATATGGCACAAGATGATGTCCTGTCGCTGAACCACTAAGAGTGGGATGGTCTCAGAGGGGGTGAATGCAGCCTAAGAATCGAAACTCCTAAGGGCAGTCACACATGAAGGTGGGATAGGTCATCAGGCTCAAGGTGGGAGAGTGGTAGCGAAACAAAACCAAGGACCCTAATAGATAGACCATCAGGGCGGGTAATGCTCAACAAATGGATGACACCATGCAGGGTCGACCATGAAAAAGGGGGAGCCTGGAATAGGGTGGAGATATGCCTAACTGAAGGCATGCAAGGGCCGACACTAGGGTGATGAGGGCAGTGGGTGAGGGAAACATGCACACAACTCACCGACTGGGGGAGGAGGGAGCTAGATCTGGGAGCAAGAAAGCCAAGATAACGCTACGGTCCCAATGCCTATGCGATACCAAGGGAGAACCCAACTCAAAGAGACCCAGCTAAGTGAGAACCATCATGCGACAGACGCAAGGAAATATACAGGGTAGGGTGGTGGCGTGAAGTAGTCACGTCCAAAGTAGTTGAAGCCGATAAGATGGCCGAAGTCGAGAAGGTGACTGAAGTCGTCGAAGTGGTCGATGACGTCGATGAAGTAGGAGTCGAGGTTGATATCGAAGCAGAGCCGCAAAACGCTGACATCCTGAAGAAGAGTTGATGCTGGAGTACCTGATGGTGTGAGTTAGTGGGGAAAAATAGAGGATAAGAGTGTCAGTCATCGTAACGCGAAGGGCGACGATGAGTGTGCTGTGGACGCTCGGAGGCGACCGTCTGTGAGGGAGCGGGCTCGTCCTCAGCAATCGCCTCAATCGGAGGAGGAGGAAGACGGTCGGTCGGCTGAGCAGGGGCAGACATCTCAACACGACGAGCACGATCATATGCACACACCAACATCCTGACGTGCTGCAAGTGCTCGAGGGGCTCCCAAGTAGCCTCCTCATCAGGATAACCCTTCCAACGCACAAGGTACTATATGCGTGGAGGGATATCGTCGGTCACTCGGCGAGATACGATGTCGAAAACGACGAACTCCTCGTGACCGTCCACCATGATAGGTGGAGGGCGCTCGTACGGGCGTCCGGCGAAGCGCTCGGACGGTCAGCGATAAGGACGCAGCAAGGAGACGTGGTAAACATCGTGCACGCGAGCCTGTCCAAGGTAAATCAGGTAGCTTCACATGGAAGCTGACCGGACTAGCGGCAGTATTAGAACCGACGGCCTGAAGGATGCGGCATGGACCGAAGAAACGAAGCCTGAACTTGCGAAGCGAATCGGCTTCGAGCTGTAAGTGGCGTGCGTCGGCGAGCACATCGTCATCGACTTTGAATGGATGATCCATTTGTGATCGGTTCGCTCGTACGGCCATGCGAGTCTGGGAGTTGGCTAGACTCTCGTGTGCACGCTTCATAATCACCGCCATGTGGGCGATCCAGTCATCAAGCGCAGGACAACGAGTGTCTGGGCGCAACTGCGATGGTCGTAGGAAATTCGCGGGTATGCGAGGGTGGTAGCCGAGGTCGCAATAGAATGGCGACATCCCCATGGCTGGGAAACAGACTGGTTGTACGCAATCTCCGCATGGGCTAAGTGTAAGTCTCACTGCTGGTCATCCCTAACAAACTTTCGAAGGATATTACCGAGAGTTTTATTGGTGACCTCAGTCTGACCATCCGTCTGAGGGTGGTAAGACGATGAGAAGCGGAGCTGAGATCCGTACACCTCGTGTAGGCGTCGCCAGAATGTGCTGGTAAAGCGCGGGTCACGGTCGGAGATGATGCTCTGAGGTAAGCCGTGATCTCTCACGACTTGGTCGAAGACGATGTCAGCGACCTCACGAGCTCTAATGCGATAGCGGCACGGGACAAAACGTGCACACTTCGTGAAGCGATCGACGACGACCAAGATAGCATCATGGCCTCGCTCAGTGGGTGGGCGGAGGGGACCAATGAAATCCATCGAGATGGACTGCCAACGACCCTTGGGTATGGGTAAAGGCTAAAGTAACCCATACGGGAGGTGGTTCACACTGTTCACCTCCTGACAGGTAGGACACTCCTGGGTGTAGGCTTTGACGAAGTCCTTGGACTTTGGCCAGACGTATAGGCGGCAAACACGAGCCAACGTCTTGTGGAAGCCCATATGACCGGCAACTGCCTGGTCATGGAACTCTGCTACAGCCTGGATGCGGAGCTGTCCAGTGGAGGGAACGTAGATACGTGGTTCTAGCTGACCAGATCTGCCATGCCAGTACACGAGACCGTTCTCACCTATGGAGTATAAGGGAACGGTCTTGCCACTCCGCAGGGTCGCGTGGATGACACGATAATCTGGGCAATGACGGTACTGGGTGCGATATGCGTCGGTCACCGACTGATCAACAATGGTGATGGAGATGGCAGCAAGATGGATGGGTTCCTGATTGTGATCAAGACGGCGGGACACGGCATCGGCGACGCGGTTCGTTTCACCTTTGATGGGCTGAGTGGTGAAACTGAACTTGGATAAGTCACGCCACCAACGTGCCTGTCAAGGGGAGAACTTGAGCTTCGTGAGGAAAGCCTGGACAACTGAGTTGTCTGTGCGCACCGTGAAGGGCGCCCCGTGCAGGTAATGGCGCCAATGCCGAGTAGCATAAACTACTGCGAGAACCTCACGTTCGTCAGCAGTGTAGTTTATCTCGGCAGGCAGTAGCTGACGGGAGTAGAAGGCCATCGGGCAATCCCGAGCACGAGCCGTGACAATCCCATCCTCCGCGATGGTCGGGGAATAAGTAACGAGAGGACTGTCAGTGGAGGGAAGTGGTGGGAGGGTAGGCGTCAGTCGAGAAGCAGTGTCAGCAGGAGGGGGGGGGGAAGGAGAAACATGGGGATAAGATGAATCCGGAGGAGAGGGAAACGCCTGAGAGAGGACTGCTGACGCATCCGTGGTGACGATAAAGGGACGATCAAAATTGGGGAGGCGAAGAACCGGCGCACAAGTCACCGCCTTCTTGAGGGCGCGAAAGGCGTCCACACACAGGGGTGTCCAAAACCAAGGCAGGTTCTTTCGGAGGAGGGTGGAGGTAAGGACTTGGAATACCTAGCGTATCCCTGGATAAAATTACTATAGTAGCTGGTGAGGCCTAAGAAACTACGAAGCTGCTTGGCAGAGGTGGGGATGGGCCACTCTGCAATAGCAGTGATCTTCGCGTCGTCCATGTGGAGACCATGGTCAGACACATGGTGTCCTAGGAAGTTCACTTTGCGTTGGGCAAAGCGGCACTTACTGAGCTTGGCATAGAAGCCATGCTTGCGTAAGCGCTATAGGACATCAAGGAGGTGTCTGATATGGTCTTCTAAGGTACGACTGTAGACCAAGATGTCATTCAGGTATACGAGAACGTATTCTTTAAGGATGTCCCTAAAGATGTCGTTCATCGCCGTCTGGAAGGTGGCGGGTGCATTGGTGAGGCCGACTGGCATCACCGTGAACTCGTAGTGGCCGAAGCACGACCGGAAGGCGGTCTTCGGCTGATCCTCTGTGGCAACGCGGATCTGGTGGTAACCGCTACGAAGATCGATCTTCGTGAAGAAGCGGTTGCCTGCCAGACAGTCAAACAACTCATCCGCGTGGGGCATAGGATAATTGTTCTTAACCGTGTAACGGTTAAGACCGCGGTAGTCGATGCAGAGGCGAAGAGTTCCGTCCGCTTTGCGAGCAAAGAGGACAGGTGCACCCCAAGGGGAGTTACTGGGTTTAACGAAACCCAGTCGAAGGAGCTCCTCAAGCTGGCACTTGAGTTCCGTCGCCTCTGGAATCGAGAGTCGGTACGGTGCCTGATGGTGAACACGATAGTCAGGCACGAGTTGGATAGAATGCTCAATACTGCGCATCGGGGGAATCCCGCTATATGAGAAATACGGGGGAAAGACGTCGCGGTAATCTCGAATCAGGTCGCGAACAGCCGACTCTAAGTCTGTCGTGAACCGTGTGAGTTCCTCAACGTCTGCGTCGGCGCGAGACGTATGTGTGGACTCGACAGTCGACGGCGCAGGGGCATGGGACCTTGAGAGGGTATCCGCAGGTTGATGGGTGGACGTAGAGATGGGAGCTGCAAAGATGGAGGAAGGGTCAGGGGGATCGGGCTCCAGAGAGATGAGCTCAACCTCAGGACAGAGTGGATCATAGCGAAGAAGATCCATGACGTTCATTGAGTAGAATGTGACGTCCTCTTGTCGTATGAAGTGAGCAAACTGACGAGGGGAAGTGAAGGCGATGTTGGGGTGGGACCTTGAGGGACGAGGGTCCTGGGGAGGTAGGTCGGGAGGCCGGGGAGGGGTGTCGCCCGTGGTCCCAATGAAGGGGATGCGATGGGTCTGACCACACTTCGTTTTGAGAACGACTGTCTCGGTCGCCCATTCGGCTTTTGTGCCACGGAACCGGCGAGACCAAGGAGTGTCAAGGATAAAGTCGTACCCAGTCTCCAGCACGTCGAAGTATGCAGAGGAATGGTGGCGCCGAGGTGCCTGGGTACAATCCGATGGCTGGAGGGTGAGGGAGAAGTGGAGGTCAGGGACCGTCTGATCGAAGAAGCGTTGTGTCTTGTTATCTCTGAGGGTAGCGGAGATAGGAGAGCGAGACCCAGAGGTAGCTAGGCGAACTTCCTCAACCACTCGAGGGTGGACGAAACCCCAATGCGAGCCAGAGTCCCATAAAGCGCGGTACACCCTCGTAGATGTCCCTAGGCGAATAGGGATAATGGGTAGGGTGCGATCAGGGTCATAAAGCAGAGCGAGAAGACGACGCAGGACATTGACGTGTCTTGTGAGTCGCTCCTGACGAGCCTGAAGAATGCTCAAATCCAGGAGAGATGACACAACGTCATCGCGAGTCGCCAGTTGAGCGCTACAATGGGTTGAGCGAATGGCACGACGCGTCGGAAGTCTCGGGAGGGAAGCGCTAGATGCGGCGGTCAACTGTGAGGCAGACGGTACCTCGACAGACGACGGGGCAGAGGAAACTGCGTCCGTTGTGTTCTGAGGATCCTTTGGTGGGGTAGCCAAAGGGGCAAACCGTGACTCGGTGGTCGGGAAGCAGGCTACGTGCGAGGCCTCAATGGCACACTGCACCGTGGCTAGGTGGATGGGGCTGGTCGGGCGGGGCCGGGGGGGGACTGAGATCGGCGTTGACGAGAGATGTCAGCATAGTGTCGATCGAGGGTTGTATGGTATGGACACCGTGAGGAGGTGTGTCCATCCAGGCGGCAACGAAGGCAGCCACGACGGGCCTCGAGGGCGGTACGCTCCTCAGGGGATAGAGCTCCGCGACGAGGGACAAAACCTTGCGGGAGGTCTATCTGAGGAACCGTGGGTGTGCGGGCGCCAGCCTGTGCAACCCGACTGCGCGCACGACCCGTGGCAGACATGGTCATCTGCAGGCGCTCGGCCAACGGGACAGTGTCGTCATCCAAGTGGTACTGGATGACGTCTCGAAGCTCGATGTCCTCGGGGGCATCCCCAATGGTAGGGTCGAGCTTGGATGAGGCGTCCTCTCCATACTCAAGAGAACAGTGGTGCCAAGAGAATGGCGCGCCAGGTCGAGCCGGACGACGAAAACGACCAGCAAACGTGGAGTGGCCTCTGGTGGTACCGGGAGACTGGGAGGTGGCGGCTGGCCGCGAAGAGGATGGGGCGACGGAGAAGCGACTACACATCCTGTGGTACGGACGTGCAGCCTCATATGCCTGCTCAGCTGAAGAGAATGACCGCCTCCATAGCCCTAAGCAGTAGTCGGTCGGCAGGCTGACGAGGAACTGGTCGGTGAGTGTGACCTTCGGTAGGAACGTCTCGTCACAGACAAGGCGAGCGTCCTGAAACACCCGGATGTGACGCTCCAGGTCGGCTGGTACAGAGGACCCGGGCCATCTAGTCCGGGTGACGCGGTCTAAGGCGTCGGTGGTGTCATGACAAGCGCCGAAATGGTCCTGAAGGAAGGCCGCAAAGTCGGCCAAAGTGGGGACCGCACCCACGCGGAGGCGCTGGGTATAATGATCCTCCCACGCTAGGGAAGGGCTACCTCGCAATTTGGTTGCGAGTACATCGCACCACAACTCCTGACGGGTGGTCGTCATAGAGAGTGTGCTCGTTGCTATCTGCAACTAGTGAGAGACACGGGATGTGTCATCATATTCGGGAATGTCCGTGGTGCGTACAGGAGGATGTCCACTGTGTTGATTGCGGGGGGAGAGAGATCGAGGCGAGTGCACTGCGGCGGCGTAATTCGCGGCCGCTGCAGGGGCAGGGGTGGGGGAAGGCTGTGGGTCGTGCCCACTAGCGGATGGACCAGCAGACGAGGAGGCGACGACCGCAGGCAACTGTCCGGAATAGCCAGGTAGGAGGGAAGAGGCTAAGGAGCAGGTCGAGGGAAACAAGCCTGCATCATGGGGACCGAAAGGGTGGTAGAGGAAGAAGGGTGGGCAGCCTGTGATGGGTGAGGCTGTCTCAGAGCGAGGATCTCCGCCTGAGTCTACGCAATGGTGGCCTGTAAAGTGGCCACTCGCTGGGTGCGCGGGGTTGGAGGTGGAGGAGGCGGAGCGGGTCTCCCAGTGGGAGGAGCAATCCTAGCCTGGGTGATACCCTGCTGTGGGGGTAGGGGGACAGAGGCAAGGAGAAGAGGGCAGAGCCGTATTGCCGCGACCGGTGCGGGAAGCTGGGAAGCAACACCGGGGTGGGTCGATGAAACTGCGGGGCCAGATGGTGGTATCTGGACCGCAGCACTTGCGGCAGCAGTAGAGACGGTAGGGGCGGCCGGGGCTGGGAAAACTGTCGCAACAGATGGGGTGGTCTGAGCGGCAGCAACACTCACCACTGTTGAGGGGGAGTGTTCGGTCTGGCCCGCAGAGGAGGGGGAACCACGATGTCTCCATCTCTGGAGTCGTGGGGAGCCGGACTGGGAGTCGGTAGGGGATGGGGTGTGGGAGCGGTGGGGAGAGCGGTGGGGAGAGTGATGAGGGGAGCCCTTGAGGCGGTTGACGTCGAGGGCAAGCGCATTGATTTGCGCTTGCAACGGTCCAAGCGTACTAAGTTCTGCCTGGATCGCTACAAGGGCGGCATGAAGGTCCATGGTGTCCGCATGGGCCTGACCATGAGCCGCTGACTGCGCCGCGGCGATCTCCTCCGATGATCTCCCTTCCATGGCCGGAAGGGGAATGGAGGTAGTCCTCAGAGGAGTGAGTGGGGAAAGGGGCCCATCGGTAAGAGGAACGGGACCGCGGGAGCGGAGGGAGTATGTGTGAGTCGGCTCGCCCCGGATTTTGCGGGTCGCGCGTGAAACGAAGGCGCCGAACTGCTCGAGGGGGGAGAATCCGTCCGGGTCCAGGGTGCCCGACGGGAGGAGGCGGGAGAGTAGGAGGGGGGGGGGGTAGGAGAACCCTAAACCCTAGAAAACCCTAAGAAAACCCTAACCGGAGTTTAGGTGGTTAGGGGAGGGTAGCGGCGACCTAATCAAGAAAGAAAATAATATGGAGGGGAGGGGGAGAGAAAATATAATAAAAAATAAAATAAAATAAAAAAATAAATAAAAATAAATAAATAAATAAAATGTAAGGAGTGAGGAGAGAGAATATTATTTTTTTTGGAATTTTCGGCAGCATTTTCCCACCCCACATAAGGTCAAAAATGTGCCAAGAGGAAGGAAAGTGCAAGAGGAACACACTGACTTTCAAAATGCCGCAAATTAAAATTTTCAAAAAAGTAAATAAATAATAAATAAATAAATAGATAAATAAACAAGGGGGTGGAGGAGAGTGAAGAGAAACTAAGTTATGGAATTTTTCAAAAAAATCGGGAGCATTTCGTTACCCCCATTGAGTCGAAGTGTGCCATAAAGAAAAAGACTAAGTAAAATGGGAACATTTGGTCAGCGCTTCGCTACCTTGGGGTAAAAAATGTGCGGTAAGAAGAAAGTAGAGAGGAAAGACAAAATTTCGGCCGCACTTCATTATTCCCAAGGGGTCAAAATATGCGCCAACAATAGAAAAGACTAAGTCCTAGCAAGATATAGAGGTGCTATAGAAAAATTTGAATTTCTAAAATAAATAAAAATAAAAATAAAAATAAAAATAAATCAGAAGATGAGAAAAGAAGTAGGGAATAAGATAACTCAAATTTTTGGAGGAAAAGAGAAAATTTAAATCAAAGAGAAAGAGAAAAGAAGAAAAACAGAAAATTCGAAGTTGGGTGGGGGGGGATGAAAATGTGATGAAGAAGGAGAGAAATAAGTGAGAAGAGAAAGAAAAAGTAAAGTGGGAGATGGGGGAGATGATGGGGTTGTAGTTGGGGGAGGGAAGGGGAAGAGGAGGGTGGTAGAATGGGAGAGAAGGATATGGAAAAGGGGGAGAGGAGTAGATGAGATTAGTGGGAGGTGGTGAGTGGGGAGGAGAGGAGAGAAAAAGAAAAAGATGAGTGGAGAGGGATTGGGGGATGGTAGGTTAGTGGTAGAAGCTTGATACCAGGCTCTTGGGTGGCCAAGAGCAAAGTTCTACCAAGATGCACATGATCTTGGCCTTCAAGATGTTGTTGGTGTGATGCCACAACAGTAAAAAGATTATGATGATCTAGGGTTGGCTGAGATCTTGATCAGCCACCCTACTGCCATAGTCACACAGCCCCCTTGCCAGGGGGGAATCTTGAACTGTTGCCAAACTGTTGCTGCAACAGTGAAGTAGTAAAAAAAAGAAAATATATATGTATGTGGTGCAGCCCCCTAGCCAGGGGGGTCTTCAGCAGATGTTCGCGTGGCACTCAACAACAACCAGCCACAGTATCAATCCATATTGTGGTTGTGGCCAGTGTGTTAAGGCACTGGCCACACACGCGCATGAGCAGCAGCTGCCCAGGTTTAGACCCTGGCAGCTGCAACACTCCGGGATCTTGATAATATATATCCGGGAGCGGGTCGGGGCGGGGCGGGGCAGCGTGGGCGCGTGCGGCGGCCTTGGCCTTGGAGCGGGGACCGTTCCCGCTCTGATACCAGTGTGCCAGACCCGCCGGGATGGCGGTCCGACATGATGGAGACGAAGGGGTAGAGGAAGGACGGAGTGGAGATGGAGCTGGAAGGGAAAGCGCAGTTCCGATGCAGACTCCTATGTATCCATTCAACTCGCAACGGGTTTTGTACAACTCCGTTGTACCCGTTGTACACCCCCGGGGTCCGAGTTGAATCCCTGTTGAACGGTACAACGGGGGCTTCCCGTTGAAATCCGATCAACGGGTCAGGCCCAATGGGCCGCGGACACGTGGCAGGATACACGTGGAAAAAAAAAGGAAAAAAACTGCCCTGTGTGTGTGTGTGTGTGTGTGTGTGTGTGTGTGTGTGTGTGTGTGTGAGAGAGAGAGAAACTGCCCGCTTTTCGCGTTTTTTTTT